TCAACGATAACGGTGAAAGCGATTCATTGATAACAGCCGAAGGCATTTATTTCAACGATAACGGCGAAACCGATTCAAGGATAACTGTAAACAACGTTTATTTGATAACGGCCGAAAGCAATTCAATGGGAAAAACGATGATTCTTTGAAAACAAGGAAAGCAATCCAATGATTTTTGCAAAAATAATTCAAGAATAACGCAAAAAATGGTTCATTGATGATTGAGAATTCGGTTTAATACCAACGGGGAAAGCAGTTTAATAATAACAAGGAAAGCAGTTCAATGCTTAAAGGGGAGTCGTCGATTCAATAAAAGTAGGGAAACAAATTCAATAATAATTGCGAAAACAATCCTTTGATAACGGGAAAAGTAATTCAATGATATCGGCGAAAGCTATTCAATAATAATGGCGAAGAACAGCGACAGCGATTCAATGATAAATGGGAAATCGATTTAAGGTTAACAGGGAAAACCGTTTCAATAATAAAGGGAAGGCAATTCCTCGATAACGGGAAAGGTATTCAATGAAAACGGGGTAATGAAAGGAAAGTGATTCATTGATAACGGGAAAAGCAGTTAAAATAGGATATTTCGATTTTTGATGGCTGCTGAACAGTTGAGAACAAATGCACAGACATTTGGAAATATGAAAATGTAAAGATTTCATATTGTTTGTAATATGTGTGCATGAAGATTTTTTAAACGTCAAAGAAGAAAATTAATTTTCTTTGAATCCCATAATAGACATAACTTTGCGCAATGTAACAATATTGTACATACTTCCGCGTTATATGCTCGAATGGCATTTTTATTCATATGTGAAAAGTTAACATGAATCTAATCGCATGTATCTGATGTTAATCTATCGCTATCACTATTTAGTTAATAGCTATGTTTCGTATTAATGTGATTGTTATTGCAAAAGGGCCTGTTGAGTCTTTTTTTTTGGACGCGCCTGTGGCCGAGAGGTTAGGGTCGATGACTACAAAACACTCGTCCCTCACCACAGTGGGTTCTAGGCGGCTTACGGAATGTTCTGTGGTTCTGCTAAGGTATTTGTTCGTGCCTAGAATAATTCGCGTTGGGGCATCTAAGGTAGTCCTTCACCAATAACGCTGGAAAGTCGCCATATGACATATACAACCCAACAACAAGAAACAAGCACAAAATAGATTATTTTGTTGTGACTGGTACTGATAACTTAAAGGGGTGATAGAATTAAAGGCTCGATCTGTGAATAAATTCAAAACATTCTAACAATAAAAATTTAGTCGCAGGTCAAACATTGAAATTGTAAGAAACACAAATGATAGTATTTTGCCTTTTGGGAAGAACAAATTGATAATGAATACCATTATATAAAAGTTCAGAATGCATAATTTGTAACGCCAAGAATATATTTAAAAAAGATGGTTGCTTTAAATACAATTTTACAATATCTCGCAATGATTCGACTGTTTTCAAAGTTTCTATTTGATTTAGTTGTTATCATTAAATTGCTTACGATTGTTTATATATGGTTGTTAAGGTTCAAAGACATGATAACTGTGACATTCTATATCTTTGTATTAAAAGCATGCGGAAAGTGATGCATTCATTTTTACCTAAAGATGTGTTTTAGAATATTGGCCACATGGCGCGTGTCAGATACAAAATTGGTGATTCAATTCACTGCGAGAAACTACGGTGGCACAAAGGTGACATGTGTGTGTTTTATTTATCTCGTGCGCACGAGATACTATGTCGTGACCACGAGTTACTAAGTCGTGGCCACGAGATAGTTAAGTCGTGGGAACGAGATACTATGTCGTGGCCACGAGTTACTAAGTCGTGGCCACGAGATAGTTAAGTCGTGGGAACGAGATACTATGTCGTGACCACGAGATACTATGTCGTGGCCACGAGTTACTAAGTCGTGGGAACGAGATAATTAAGTCGTGCGCACGAGATAATTAGCCAATCAGATAACACTTTGAATGTTTTAAATTTAGAAAAATTTCTGTTTAAAGTTTTAAATGCAACATTTATCTTTGAAAATAATGTAGTGTTCACTTTAAATTTGATACACGTCTTTAGGATTTAATTAGAAAGCATCTTCTAAGGCCCATAAATCAGACATTAATTTTGATTAAGTTACAGCCCTTTGTGGGGACAATGCTCTTATATAATTGGTCAGTTTGTTCGTACAACGGCCTGTTAACCTCGTGTATACGATAACTTGGGAAGGAAATTAGTCCTGGTTTATTTTATTTGGTAGAGACAATGCCAATGGGCAGTAGATAGCCTATAAGGTTGTTTGAGGCCAAGGTAAACATGACACCATGTGAAATCCTTGTCTGATGAATGATTTAGAAGGAATAAACTATGGTTTATATAACCTAGAAAGATCATTGCTCCTGATCTGTAGATGACACCTAATAATGTTAGGCCATTTGGTCAATCAAAGGGCTGCAAGCTCTGTGGTACTTTCTGATCTTTCCTACAAAATCGTACTGTATATCTGTATGTATTTTCCTGTATAAGTTTATTTTTATATACTATAATTCATCTTGTTAGGATTGTTTACTATAACCGTTTGAGTTTGATACATACGGAAGTTTGCATAACTAGAATTGCATCAAAAATCATTTATGTTTATTTTTTTATCACAGCCACACTTTACTCTAAGTCTTGCATATCGTGGCTATACGTCCTTAAAAAAGACACTTCAAAAAATAGTTACCTCGACTGGGATTTGAAGCCCAGACCTCTTACACCCTAAACGAGCGCGTTACTTCTGCACCACGGGGATGTTATACGAAGAAAGCTTGAATAAAATCAAATAATTCTAAATTTAGAATTTCCATTTCAGGTTTGTAATCCTAATTTCGAGGTATTTTGTTCACGATAAACCTGTTGTTTTACACGGATGTAAATTATTTAGCGAAAATCTTCTCGCCTAAACAGTCCGACATGTACATATTCCACTACTCGACAGTCAGATTTATTTGTGTACTATGCTTTGAAGTATTCGGTAATCGACATCGCTAAAAATAGCTTTTTCATTGATAAAAATGATATTCATCCGCGTAATTTGTGATTGTGCATTTATTGACAATTCTATAAGCCAACGCTACTTTTATACTTTGAATGCGTTGTACTTTGACAAAATAAAAATATTTCTTTCTTTTACATCGCTAGTTTTAAGCTGTTTTGAGAACTACTTGTTGTTAGGTTTGTCGTAAAATTCTGTGCTAGAGATTGAATGTCAGCATTGTATTTCCTGATCTCAAATCAGAAAATACAAAAATGAGGGTCATAATGACGCTAAATGTAAAATCATTGACCTATCAATTACTTGTATAAATGGCACTTTTACAGGCAGGTGAAGTAGGGGCATCCTTGTACTATAGCACATGTCTAGATGATTAGGAAAATTCATATAAATAGTGTAATCTGATTGGTTAATTATCTCGTGCGCACGACTTAACTATCTCGTGGCCACGACTTAGTAACTCGTGGCCACGACATAGTATTTCGTTCCCACGACTTAACTATCTCGTGGCCACACGACTTATAGTAACTCGTGGCTACGGCTTAGTAACTCGTGGCCATGACATAGTATCTCGTGGTCACGACATAGCATCTCGTGGCCACGACATAGTGTCTCGTGGCCACGACTTAATTATCTCGTTCCTACGACTTAGTAACTCGTGGCCACGACATAGTATCTCGTTCCCACGACTTAACTATCTCGTAGCCACGACTTAGTAACTCGTGGCCACGACATAGTATCTAGTGTGCACGAGATAAATAAAAACAATCACACACATGTCACCTTTGTGCACCGTAAGAAACATCCGCTTATTGATAGGTTTTATTTATAATTAAATGGTTTTAAATTGTAACGTAGAATTTACCAAACGCTTTGCTGGAAGAAGTGTTTCTTTATACATGAATTCAGCTGTTGCCCCATTTTCGACTGAACCATATGCACTGGCTTATTGCGGTTGAACAATTTATTTGAACTTTATTGTATAAGTTTAATCATGCCAGGCCGGAGTATTTTTGAATTGCAATAATTTATTATTTGTCTGACATTGTAACTGTAATCAATCAACCGCTTATACCTGAACTGCTTATTAAATAACGATTTATTATAATTATTTAAGTGCGCTACTATATATAAATCATCATAGCTTATATAGAGACTGTCACGAAATTGAACGGTTCGTTAAATAGGGGAGATGGTGTGTAGGCCAATCTGAAGAGACGCGGTACGGTATTCCAATGGTTCCGCGTTCGAGTTCCGGCCAGGTTGCACATTTACATGTACCTCACCCTTCCAACGGGGGACCATGATGGTATATAGCTCCTAGTCCAATTTCACACTGTTCTCTTTACCTGTGAAAAATTCGAGAACGAATTTCACACTGTAAATAAATAAATAAATAAACAAACAAATGAACGAACGAACGAACGAATGACCACAATAAATAATAGTAAACATAAATATTTTATAGATATACAATAATTAATATTTTAAACATCATGTCTTCCCTCTTTAGGCCTATTTTAATTGTTATGTAAACATGTATTTTTCATTTTATTTATTTAATTGTTTATTTATTTTTATTTATTTATTTTTTATTTATTTATTTATTTCTGCTTTATTTTTTTCTTCTCAACACTAACAAATGTGTATCTCATTCAGCTTCACAATTAGTAACAGGGATTGGTTAGAATACTGTCGTTTGACATATGTACATCTGTTTATAGATAGTCCACAGCAACTTTTTTTCTCTTTAATGTAAAATTATTAAAATCTACAAACTTATCTGGGACAAAAAAATAACAGCCAGACTTAATGCTTATTTGCTTTAATATAAATCTAGAATCTATCTTTACTTTATGAAACTGATTGCTCCCAACCCTTTTGTAGTGTAGGGGCCTATATAGTGTGTATAACAAAGGGGGAGAATTCGTGCTTGCCATTGGTCAATAATTTACAGAGTTGTGTCCCATGTCGCGTAGCAATAAGACGCGCTCTGACCACGTGATTTTACCGGAAGTGCATGAATGTAAACAGTCATTTGGTGAAATGGGTTTCTAATTTCTTATTCCTTGATAAAGGTAATTCTATGATACTTTTTCAAATTACGTTGATTCAGCTAAAAGTCTGAGTTGAACAATCAACGTCGCTTCTTTTGGATAAAATGATTAAATATTCGTAGGCGAATTTACAAAGGGGATATTTTACTAAAATGTTCAATCTATTTTTCCTGATATGTGTTAAATTGTTGAAAGTGCAAGACCGTCTTCCATCGGTTATTCTTTTTGTTTGCAAATGTTAAATTCGATTTCATACTACGTTAACACATACAGATGAAAATGATAAGAGTTATTAATAGGATATTTATTGTATCAGTGAGACATGAAAATATTTCAAATGCAACAAATGAATTAGTAATTTAGATAGATCTATGCTTCTTTCTCGTGATTTTGAGACTCCCCATTTGTTCTAGGTAGATCTATATACAATTTGCAGATGTCCACCCAAATGCGACGTTCTTATCCGATCTCAATGCACTGGTGTCCATCCAGAATTTATATGAGCATTTACTCACGGTGCATATCCATATCGCTACCCTCTTTGCGAAATCTGCTGAAACGGTACCCTATTTGCACATGCACAGGTCATTCTAGGATATTTATTGTATGTATCAGTGAGACATGAAAATATTTCAAATTCAACAAATGAATTAGTAATTTAGATAGATCTTAGCCCAACAAATTGTGCGCTTTAGGGCTTTTTTTATATAGATCTGAGATGATGGTCGCCCTTCCCGAAATATCAGATTATAAAATCGGTCTGTCTTGCTGTTGAAATATTGAGACTAGATAGATCTATGCTTCTTTCTCATGATTTTGAGACTCCCCATATGTTCTAGGTTACTGTAAGATCTATATACAATTTGCAGGTGTCCACCCAAATGCGACGTTCTTATCCGGTCTCAATGCACTGGTGTCCATCCGAATTTATATGAGCATTTACTGGTCTTATCTGTTAATTTGTCTTTCATTGAAGACATACTTTCAGAAGTTGATGTACTTGCTGTAATCTGTTTTGATTTTGGTACTTTAATACTTTAATTAACTTAAGAAGTAGCAGTTGTTCACTAATTAATGAAACTAAATTAACATATAGCTAGTCTACACTGGAGAATACCCTCGACTGATGTATATTCGTGGTATTTGGCCCGTTCTGAGAAATAATGTGGAGTAAAAATATTAAACAAATTATACACATACTATATGCTTTCAATTGGTTCTTACATTAGTATTTTTCAGTAGTATTTAAATGATAAGTGTCTGTCATGTCACAATTATTGAAACTATATGCTCATAGTCACGGATGACTTCAGTTACATCAAAGTACATGTAGGTCAAATTGGTTTTTATTACCAACATTATATGCAACATTTCAGTCACTTTAAACTGAAAACATAACAATTTTCCTGAATTATCTGGATTTTTTTATATCAATTTCTTATTTACAGATTCATTTTGTAAACATGTAAGAAATCATAAAAAACTAAAATAGCAGATGAAGTAAATTTTGATCTCCCCTTATGACCCTCATTTCTGGCAAGTAGGTCAAGTGCTTGCACATTGAAATTTAAACATGTGATTTACCTCTTAAAGTATGAGGTTGGCATATATAAAAGTTACTTATATTTTGTTCAAATAGGCTGAAAGTTAGACTTAATTATTTTTTAAACTAAGGAAATGGCACTTTTAACATAAGCAGACATGGGTGTCCAAAATTGATCAATAGACATTCATAGCCTCGATTTGAAAAAAAAACAACAGCATGGTCAATTGACCATCACGTCTTGATGAAATTCTCAGAAGTGGGAATTTTATGACAAACTTTACTTAGTAAATAAATGGATTACTTATGACGTAAATATTTGGGCATAAGTAAAATCATGTTTTTATATACTAATTGGAAAATAAACTATAAACTGCCCATTTTAATGTGTTTGTGATCGATTGTTACATGATACAGAGTAGAAACAATAGGCCGGAAATATTACGACTCACTGTGTCATTGTCAGTATAAACAGGAAACTCCAGACTAATGTTATAAATTGTGCTTATTTACTTGAATTTATAATATTTGCAATCCTCAGTTGGTCTGTCTAATATATTTATTTGTCACAAGAGAGTGTGGGAGACTGCATGCTTTATTAAAATAGGTGTTTATTAGAAAATATGAATGACAAGAAAAGCTTTTGTCAGTCTTATACATTATTAACTACCACAACAACACCCACATACGCAGTTTAATCTGGTACAGGTATAATATAGTTTCAAAGAGATTCAGTCTCTTTAAAATCTTACAGAAAATCATTTATCAATAATTTTTATTTTTAGGGAGAGCAGGATGAACAGATTCCCAAGACTACAGAGTGCGGTGTTTGAGCCTTTGTCTGGAGATGGTGAAGTTGAAGTCAACTATAAAAGTGGAGCAAGTTTTAAAGGTCAAGTTCAAGGTCACAAGAAAATAGGTCGCGGTATCTTTACATGGCCTAATAATGCTAGATATGAGGGCGAGTTCTTGGACAATAATCGCGAAGGATCTGGTAATGATTTTAACCTTAAATAATTTACTTAGTATCAATTTGAGAACTGCTGCTTTACACTATGTGATAAAGAAAGGATAAGTAAGAAGAAAATTACACTCATGTGATAAAGAGTGTGAATTATGCTGAAAGTGTTTGTTGAATATTCTAAATAGATGTTGTTTTGTTTATGTACTTTAAAGTCTCATTATCAATGAATTTTCTTAATTTAAAAAACATAACTGCTCTGCCATGCCGCCACTCTATTGGTCATTCAAAATGATATAGATTATGCTATACAATTTCTAGGAATGCAGTTATGGCCAGATGGCAGTAAATATGATGGTCAATTCCAGAATGATTTGAGACATGGACAGGGTGAACATATGTGGGCAAATAAAGAGGTAATTTACAGTATAGTAAATGGTGTATTTCATAAAATATTATAATTTCTTGCCTAGATAGTTAGGGCCATCATTAAAAGACACAATCTATTGATATATCATCAATATTCTTCATGCTGTTTTTTGTTGAATTGATGTGTAAAACAAACATGCAGAACAACAATGATGACAGCTTATAACACATATTCAAATGGTTTTCACTGTTACAACTTTTTGTTTTGATATTTTGATGTATCATAGATACTTGGTTTTCAATATATCAATCAGGTTCTATTTGAAAGACCTTGTATCAATTTTGTATGAAAGACAGCTCTATGGATAGTTGAGCTGGAAGACATCCTCAAAATTTTTGGAATTTTCATAAGTTCATAGACTGGGAATATGCTCTATCTGATGGGGAAAAAAATCACTAGTTTTGTTCACTATTCAATTTTAGAATTTTAACATTAATTTATTTAAAATTTTATGGACAGTAACTAATCTAAAAAATACCAGGTAAATTTATATTCCTCCATTTCAACAGATCAATTTAAACAGGTCAAGTTCAAAATTATTTCTTAAAGTGATTTTTAAACTTTTTTTTCAAATTTGGATTGATATTTTAATATTTCTCATTTTGGAAAATAAATTGATATACTGTAGTGGTAATATTACCTATTGAAATAGGTCGTTTAAATGGTAAGCTGTTACTTAAAACCAGACAATAGAAACAGTTAAACCTGAAATTTAATCTCTGCCTATTACATTACACTTCATTGTGAAAGTCAATATTGAACAACTACTGCTTTTAAAGGATAACAAACTTGCTTTTAAATAGCAATAAAGTTAACATTTCAGTCTTAAAATATTTTTGTGTACCAAATAATAGAAATTGATTTCTTTAGAGTTAAACTATACTAAATCTAACTGCTTCAGTCCTTACATATTTTATACAAATATTTATAACAATTGCAATTAAGAAACAAGTAAATGCTGGCACATAATACATGAAATGAATTTAACCTGTCCTTAGCATTTAGTGGGTATAAAGTATAAATTTGAAGTATGTCTAAAAGGTTCAAGTAGCACGCCTCCAGATTTATGTTAGTTTTCATGAAAATTTTAAAATGTATTTAAAAGTAAAATATATATTGTGAAGTGAACAAAGAAAGTAATAACAGCGCTTAAAATCCACATAAAATACTGAAAAGAAGAGGACAGATTATGTATAACTACCCCTTACTGCATTATAGTCAGGTAGTAGAAATATGGCAAAATCAGTCGTAGCATATATTGCATGTAAATTATTACTTAAATCTTGAATATTTTTACTTTTCTTAAAATCTTTGAACATTTTTCTCAAGTTTGATTTTTAGCTCACCTGTCACAAAGTGACAGGGTGAGCTATTGTGATCGCTTTTTGTCCGGCGTCCGGCCGTAAACTTTTACTTTAAATGACATCTCCTCATAAACCACTAAGCCAATTTCATCCAAACTTCACAGGAATGTTCCTTTGGTGGTCACCTTTAAAAATTGTTCAAAGAATTTAATTCCATATTGAACTCTGGTTGCCATGGCAACCGAAAGAAAAAACTTTAAATATCTTCTTTTAAAAAACCCAAAGAGCTAGAGCTTAGATATTTGGCATGAAACATCTTCTAGTGAGTGTCTACCAAGTTTGTTCAAATAAAAGCCCTGGGGTCACAATTGGCCCCGCCCCAGCGGGGTCATTGATTTTCCCTATATGCATATAGTAAAAACTTAAAAAATCTTCTTTTAAAGAACACATAGAGCTAGAGCTAAGATATTTAGCATGAAACATGTTCTAATAAGTGTCTACCAAGTTTGTTCAAATAAAAGCCCTGGGGTCAAAATTGGCCTCGCCCCAGGGGGTCATTGATTTTCCCTATATGCATATAGTAAAAACTTAAAAAATTTTCTTTTAAAGAACACATAGAGCTAGAGCTAAGATATTTAGCATGAAACATGTTCTAATGGGTGTCTACAAAGTTTGTTCAAATAAAAGCCTTGGGGTCAAAATTGGCCCCGCCCCGGGGGTCATTGATTTTCCTTATATGTGTATGGCAAAAACTTAAAAATCTTCTTTGAAAAAACCCAAGTAGCTAGAGTTTAGATATTAAGCATGAAACATCTTCTAGTAAGTGTCGACAAAGTTTGTTCAAATAAAAGCCCAGGGGTTAAAACTGGCCCCGCCCCAGAGGATCAGAGGTGTCATTGTTTTTAACTATATGTGTATAGTAAAAACTTAAAAAATCTTCTTTTAAAAAACCCAATGAGCTAGAGGTTAGATTGTTAAGCAGGAAACATCTTTTTGTGGGTGTCTACCAAGTTTGTTCAAGTAAAAGCCCTTGGGTTTAAATTGGCCCTGCCAAAGGGGGGGGGGGGTCATTGTTTTTCATTATATGTGTGTAGTAAAAACTTAACATCATGATTCATGAAACATTTTCTAATGGGTGTCTTCCAAGTTTGTTCAAATAAAAGCCCTGGGGTTTAAACTGGCCCAGCTCCGGGGGCCTATATACAGGTGAGCGACCTCAGGGCCATCATGGCCCTCTTGTTTTAAAAGTATTTTGGTTCACTTGGAGGTATGCAGCTTGAAATGTTCAAGTATTTTACTAAGGAATGGTTATAAATCTATAAATTGTTTTTCTTCTGAAGAATGATATATATTGATTAATATTGATTTACATTACGTTGATCATAACATGTATACAGTGTTGACAAGTTAGTTAACTGATTGTATCAGTAATTAATCAATACTGGTCTCTCATCTCAGGTACAAAAGTATAATTGCAATTGAAACTATTTCATCATAGATCTTGTAATGTTGGTAGCTATTATGGTTCTGTTACACTGGAAAGTTTAGCTGGTGGACCATTTCTGTTGAGATATGACCAACAAAAATGTGTTAAAATCGACATTAAAGCGAAACAAACAATTACTGCAACCCTGTTATTTTTAATTTATGCTCATGTTGTGGTCCCAGGTCTCAGCACCTTGTTATAACGAGGTTCTGATACATAACGCTCATAGAGAAATAATTGCAAATTGGTGTATTATAAAGATATTTTAGCCTTAATTCTATATGGCTACACCGTAATCAGGACTAATGACCTTTTTAAACTTTACCACACTGAATTTCTGTGGACTGATCCTGAATTTATTAAAGTTCAAACCTTTACAGATTCAGATTTGACCTGAGCCTACTAATTATAGCATCTGGTCAGAATGCACACATGAACAGGCTGGCCTTGAATCTAATTACATTCAGGTGGCATTATTATTCCTGACCTTGCTGGAACCTAACGTAACTGGCCTTAAATTTTTCACAAGTAATAAGATGTCAACCAGGCTAGCTAATACAACTGTGCAATCTGACCAGGCTTTAGTGAAAGTTCCAAATTCTAAATTTAAAAACAGGGCAGATCCATTAAACACATTGAGCAGGTTACTAAGGGTAAGGCCTTTAATAGGATGCAAAATGTACAACAACATTAAATGGTTTTTTAATTTCAATATAAAATTACTGAAAATTCCGCTTTAAACTGTTTTTTATGTAAAGCATGGCAGAGTAAATATTCCTCACTATGAGGAAACCAGATAAGTATGTATATAAATATGATTATGAAAATAATTTTTTCTTATCTTGTAGTCTTATAAAGGGAAGTTTTTCCAAGACCGTCGTCATGGAAGCGGCACATATACATGGTCCGATGGCTCTACATTTACTGGGACATTCTACATGGACAGAAAGGAAGGATATGGGGTATTCCAGTTTGCAAACGGAAATAAATTTGAGGTAATATAATCTACAAAACCTAAAACCCTGAAATAACACGAGATAGTATGAAAAAAAGGTTTACTTTTAGCACATTAGTGGTGCTAAAACGTGGACCTAACATTAATTGTCGCTTGTTGCTTCAGGTCCAAATTTTGCAATTTTCCTAATGCTTCTGTAGACCTCTCAATTAACATGCTGAAGGTTGTTGAGTCAACAGCGCATGTTTATGATTTAAATAATACACAAAAGGTTATTTTTGGAGTTCTTGCTGGGAATAAGATACTGCTGTACATATATTGTGTAATGTGGCTATAATAAATCAACGGAAAAGCATTGTCTATATTTTGACTCCAAATTGTCTTAGAAAATTAATATTTTGTAGCATTTACTCAATGGTTCATAGCACTTTTAGCAAAGGTAAGAACACTTCTCTTGCAAATGTGAATAAAGTGTAATTGTACCATAACCTGTAATCTCTGTGTTTAAGAGGGCTTACTGACTGTAGATTTATTGACTAGTAACCTGCACATGGTTACATCCATTTATATTCTGTATACAGTTATTTCCTGGAAAGAATTACACAAAGGTGTTTGATTATTTACTTCCTATAAATAAGAAATAAGAAAATTGCAAAACTCCTCAAGTAAGGGGTTTTTACTTGTTCTAATAATGCTATGCTTGAGTGAATAAATTCTATGAAAGTAAACATACAAAATTTACTGCTGTTTAATTCAACTTATACCTGTCTGTAATGTATTATTTTGTTTCTTAAAATTACATTTTAAATCTGTTTTAGGGTTTATACAAAGAAGATGAGCGTGAGGGTCCAGGTGTCATGACCTACCCGGATGGCACACAGGATGTTGGACTATGGCATGGTGAAAAACTTGTCAAGTTTTGCTCAGCCATTCCTGAGGCCTTCGCCATGAAAAATCACACAGACTTTGATTACAACCCTGATGAACATATTCAATACTTAAACAAAGAAGGCCTTTCAGAAAAAGAAATGTTTGAAAATCTTTTGAAAGAACCAGACTCTTACTACACTCCAGACAGTGGTGTTACAGAAAAAGTCAGTGGTTTATTTAATATAGCTCTAGATCCTCGAAGCTTAGCGATAAATAAGGAAGCTTTTGATAAAGAATTCTACCCAGAGATGAACGATACTGACACTATAGATAAAATACAAGTATGGAATAGGACGCCTTCATTAATAGCCATGCAAAAACATTTTGAGAAACATAAATATGGGACAAAATCTTTATCGTTTAACATGGATCAAGTATTAGCAGGGGATAAGACTGACTTTAAAGGGAAAGGGCCGATAGAAACTGCCTCCGAGGAGTTGATTCAGGCAGCAACTGAGGGAAATGTGAACAAAGTGGAGGATTTGCTAAGTTCTGGAAAAGTTTCACCAGATGTTGCAGATAGTAATGGACACACAGCTCTTATTGGTGCAACAGTATGTATTGAGTTGTTCATACTTTAGATGTGTCAAAATTCTAACATTTGGCCTAAATTATACGATTTATTTTTGTAGCATTCTTATTGAGTAAAATTTTACAAGTAAGATATATTGAATATAAAAATTGGTTTTTATTTTATGCCTATAAATACATGTAATAATCCTTATGATTACCTGGAAAGTGGTGTTCAGTTTGTGATATAGATTATACTTTGGCATTAAATAAGAATTCAAGATATTTATCCATAAGATGAGAGAAAGCCAAATATGTTTGATGAAAATTCTGCTTAAGATTGGTAAAAAAAATTGTTAAATATCAAATATTAAATATTTTTAGGCTTGAATCGGTCATCATTTATTATTCACTAAATTATGGTCTGATATGAGCACACTTATTTATTTTTTTTTTTTTTGACTTTTAAAGTTTTGAAGTAATTAATATGCTATATTATCGTTTCATTTATACAGGTTAACTGGAATATAGAAGTAATAAACTGTTTACTAAATCATGGTGCCGATGTAAACAAACTTTCAGACGAGGGATGCTCTGCCCTTTCTGCCGGATGCATTTTTTTCTATCCAATAGAAAGCTTTCATTTCAATATTGCTGAAAGATATTTAGAAGAACCTAAAGACTTTAAAATTAAGTTAAAAGAGGAAAAATCAAAATCACTCAAACAAGATCAGCAACAACAACAATCTCAGCAACAGAACCAATCTAGTCAGGGGCAGACAACTCCAAAAAGTATTCTCAGCAAAAAGCAGACGGGTAATCGCAAAGCATCAAACCAACAGAAATCAGACAGTCCAGGTGGGGAGGCACAGCTAGAAAGTACTGGCACACCAAGAACGGAGAAAAACATGAAAAACATGCAGAATGCTAAGCAACAAGTAAGGATCGAAGAGAAGTCAAATATACCTACGGTTGCCGTGGTAACTCAAGATGACAGCAAGAGTCAGGAGGAGTTTGATTCTAATATGAGTTTAAAATATTATGAGATAGAGGTATCTGACCAGCTGATAGAGAGGTGTGCCACCCAGCTCAGCATGAATGAGAAGGTGGTTGCTGGGAGGCGGAGTCATAATAGTGCTGATTTAGGAACTGTTCGTCATTTAGCAGTTATAAAGAATGAGTAAGTTAGCTATTTTATTGAAAAATATAAATTCATTATTATAGTATTTGCTATTGCCAACTTTTTTTTATTTACATGCTGATGAGTCCTTAATGTTTTATTGATAATCATTTTAAATTTGAAGTGAAATCTATCATTTACATGTACTTATATTTTTTACTTTTGTGATAAATGTGCTTTTAGGTATGATTTTGTTAGTGATTTATTTGCTGTTTTAGTCTGTTTATACTTAATTTGTAATATAGTACCTGTTAATGGTTTATTTGCTATTGTTTATCATGTTTTTATGGTTCATTCACTAATTTGCTACCTGTTATTTGTTTATTTGCTATTGTTTACCTGTTAATTGCTTAGTTGCTATATTTTTATCAATTTTAGTTTATACACTACTGTTTACCTTATTTTCTGTTTTTTTTAATCTTTTTATTGTTTATCATCTATTGTTTACCTATTTATGATTTATCAACACTTGTTAATCTATTTATAGATTATCTGCCATTGCTTTCACCTATTTCAGGTTTATCAGATTTTGTTTACCTGTTAATGGTTTATCAGTCTTTTTTAACCTGTTTATAATTATTTTATTACAATTGTTTACCTATTCATGATTTATTTGCTATTGTTTACCTACTATTGAAGTACTTGCTATTGTTTACCAATTGGTTATTTACTTACAGACGTGAGAGAATGAAAGCCACTCTAGATTTACTGTTACAGAGAGGGGCTGACCCGAATGCCTCTGGTGTACCTATGCCAGTTCTCTTCTTTGCTATCAAAGCAGCTGATGTAGAGATGGTGAAATCTCTTCTATCAAAAGATGCTTCAACCAGTATAAGACTTCCAAAAGAGGTAAACAAACTATAATGCTGATAATAAAAATAGTCACAATAATGGTCTAGAAGAAATAAAAATGATCAAACTAGAATTTTCATGAACAGTGGTTGTCACGCTACTTGGATTTATTTATGATAGATCAATATTAAGGTTGTTGTTTGTGTATCGTGTATCTCACAATTTTTTACAAAGACTTCTGTCAGGTTATATTGCTGTTTATGCAATGCCATGTTTGCTTGCAATATGATAAATATTGGCCAGCTGCTCAGGTTATTGTTTATAAAAATTGTTTATATTGTGGTCATATAACCTGTCAAAATCTATATCAAATATTTCATTGTAATGGTTAAAATGTTGTAATAATACAGATTTTTTATCTTTTTTTCAAGTACATTGTATAATGCCAATCTCAAATTCATATCCTAACTGGTGCTTCAGTACCTTTTGCTAGATGGGGTGCATAGAGTAACAGAGCGAAAATGATGATCTGATTTTAATGAGATTGCTATTATTACTGCTATATATGGTATCAAGGAAAGAGGAGCAGGTATTAAAGGACATGTGGTTAAGGTGTCTGCCCAGGGATCATGGATTCGAGCCGTACACGGGTCACAACCATGTTTCTTCACAATTATGACACCAGTACTAGCTACATATAGTTCCAGTAAGCACACTCAAAAATAATTGATATCATATCCGCTGTAAGAACTTGTTTTAGAATCAAACTTAGATAAATATGTTTAAACTAAAGAATGTAAAATTTACATTTTCAGAAAGGAGGTCTATCCCCATTACATATAGCTAGTGCTATACCAGGGGAGGAGGGAGTGTTGATAACAGAGCTGTTGCTCAAAGCAGGTGCTGATCCTGACGTCAGAGCCGAGGTTGATGACTCGTTCTTAAATAAAAGTCTTGTAAGTTTATAGTTGAAATACCCATTGTTATTGTCAATTATGTACAGATGCCCAATGATGTTTCAAAACAGAGCTTTATATTTCTATAACAGCCTTCTTCAGGTGTATTTTATCATGCGTTTTGATTATTGGCACTTTTGTCACAGCATTTTACACTTAGTCTGTTGTTATAGCTCATGATCTGTGAGCTTTTTTGTGATTTTTAAGCTTTAATCTATTGAAAAATGTTAATAAGCTTTCATAGCATTTGAAAACAAAACAATGTCTCAAAAATTTAGATTAAAGTGTATTTATTTCATTACAGATGGAAGAATGGAGTAAAGATGCTATACATCCTGACAGTCAGGCTTTGCTAGGGGGACGTACTCCGTTACATATAGCCTGTGCTAGAGATGATAATTATAAAGTATGTTAATACAGTCGAGACTGCCTAAGCGACCCCATGATTTAAACGACTCCCTGTCTTATCCGACCTTGTTTCAGTACTCCCAACGTATTTTCCTATATAAATGGTCTGAATTAAATGACTCCCTGTCATATGTGACAAGCGACCCTAATTGTCTGGTCCCAATGCAATGTTTAGTCTGATTTAAACGACTTTCACACCTTTTAATTGTCCGTTAATCAGATAAATTATACCTATCATAACACCCAGAGGGCAAAAATAATTAAGTCCAATTATAATCCAGTAGCAAACAAAGTCTACACACCTCTATCTCAATTACACAGTTAACATGTATACATGCAGGTATCAAGTGACATAGCAAGCATGATGCTATCGATATGTGTGTAATGTACATGATGGCCTGAGTAAACTGGGTTAAGACTAGTGTTAGATTTTTTTTTAATTATAGAGTGCCCACGGAAGATTTTTAAGGCAGCATTTTTTTAATTTACCTGTCTATGGCTGCATAATTAATACGGAAAAAATATTGATACCAAACCAGAAAAAGCTTTGGATATGGATATGTTTAAAGATCCTGTAACACAATTTTTTCATTTTTTTATTTTTTTTTTTTTGATGCGTTTATTTAAGGTCGCCGCCGGAAAGCCCATATGGGCGACCGTACACTCAAGTCGGGTGATCCTAGAGCGTCCCGCCGAGATTTTTCGTCGATTTTTTTCCAGCTTTATTGGTTGAGGAAGACCCCAGGTGCCCCTCCTGGCATTATTTCAGGCACGAGCTGGCACCTGGGTAGAACCACCGACCTTCCGTAAGCCAGCTGGATGGCTTCCTCACATGAAAGATTTCGACCCGGGTGAGGATCGAACCTACAGTGGTGAGGGACCTGTGATCTCAAGTCAGCGACTTTAACCACTCGGCCACGGAGGCCCCTCAATTTTTTCATGGTTTTATTTCATAAATATGTAGTCCTATAAATATGACATCGCTTTGAGATATTTTTGCTTCTGGGCAAAGCAACAAAAACTATAACAAGCCTGTAACGTCTTATATATTGGACTAATAAATATGATGCTCAAATTAAGATTTGTCAATATTGTAAGTTCAAATAAGCATTATTTATTAAGGTATCACCCAATTTAACATTTCATGTAAATAAAGGCCATTAAAGGGAGGTAATTAGAACTTTATTTTCTATAAAATCTAAGTCAAATTTTCCAATAAGAAATCAATGCATGTAATTTATTGATTAAATATAATGTGCACAAATATTTGCAGTACACTTTTTACATTTTCTTTGATTTTTGAAAATTGTTTTATTTGCATAATTATATCTATATATACTTTTTTTCGCAAATGTGTTTTACACACAGTAACAATATCAGTGGATCTTTAAATCTCAATGGTATATAGACAGACAGATGATATTTAAATTTTATTTTCTTTGAGACTGTATTTAGGGACTCCCTGTCATATGTGACCTTTTTCTGAAGATCCCTTGGAAAGTCACATATGACAGTCTCGACTTTGAACTACTGGAAGTAAATGTATGTCATAATTTTTGTTATTTACATATGGCATTGGCATATGCAAATGGAGATAAAAATAATCATTTTTGTGTTGGATTGAAATATAAAAGGAACAGGAATAGTAGTAAATAGACCCCAAAGACTAACAATTACACAAAAGGAGGTGAAAAATTAAATTGAAACAAACAGAAATAACTAAATTTAAATGCAGGACATATCATTGGCTCATTAATGCAGTGTGGTATTGGATAAATTTAAAAGTGACATAATATGCTCATATTTTAAATGTCAAAGTGAGTTGAATTAGTTATGCAATTCAAAAGAATGGCTATTTTAATTGTGATTGGCCAATAATTGAAAAAATGTTTAGGGTAGAATATTAAAACTGTCAAATTATAAAAGGGCTGCCCACCTTTTTTATAAATTGTGTGTTTCAAACACTTTCAAACACTGAAGGATATTTATGAAAATTTTCCTTTGGTCAAAAACCATTACAGCAAAATTGAATTAAAAGTCATTTTACATTGAGCTGTACACTCAACACTTTAATTGGCATTATTTCACTTTATAAATGTAAAAAAAATAAGTCTGCATGTTAATTTTGTGTTTTCAGAATATCACACGTGTAGTACATCTTCTACTTGACCATGGTGCCAACTCTAGTTTATTGTGTAATGGGTTCTCTCCCCTTGCTTTGTGTATTGCCAGTGGAAATGATATGGTATGTGTGAAGAATTTGTATGTCAATATTGTTTAGTTGGCATAAGTAGCAAATAATCTAGCTATTGTTTTAATATCACATATATACATGTATGTCTCATAAAATGTACACTTTCAAACTTTCAAATGTTTACATTCATTTTCTTATTGCATTTTTAAATAACTCTACTTTTCTATGTTGTATAACTAAATGAATACATTAATATTTTTTTTTTCTTATTTCTGTTTATGTAAATCTTCTGTTTGTATCTGTATATATGTACATTTTGATAGAGGCTCATAGGGAAGACTGGGCTTGCCTAACTATGTTGCCTCTTTAAATAAAGTTTTTGAAACCTGACCATATAGTGTTTTTTTCCTAATTAGAGATGATAACTGTTAGGCATATTGTTGTTTTTTGTTTTGAATTGATTATAAATTTTGCAATGAGGAAATAAATATTACATCTGTGCAAGCTAACCAGATTCTATACTGTCGACTGACCAACTTCAAACATTTCATCTTGACATCTCCAAATTTGATTATGAACTGTTCCAAAAATGGGAAGCTGGACAAGCCCATATAAGAAATTGAGCAGATTGTGGGTTAAATAGTATACATGTAAAATTGAAATATATATATATTACAGTCTATAGATGAGCTGTTAGTATACGGTAATGAAGTTAGTCTGCCGTTAACTCATGGTGTAGGCAGTGCCCTCTGTGCAGCAACTACAACAGAATACGAGTACAGGAGACCAATAGCTCTCAGGATACAACTTGTATGTAACTAGATATCGAGGATTGACTGCAAAACTGCAGTAACTTAATATGAAGTAAAGAAGAACTTATAACAGTTATGCTGTTAACCCTTGATATCCATTCTTTTTGTCATCTATAAGTTTACATGTTAATGAAACTTTATGCAAAAAATTATCATGATCTCTTTGTGTATGTGTACACTATGGTTAATAACAGTGATTACTGTTTTGCATTAAACATGAAAATCTTCAAAAATATTTTCAATATCTTTTCTTTAAAGCTGTAAAGCTGCATGCCTCCAGATGAGTCAGAATATTTCAATAAAATCAAACTAATGAAAAAAAAAAACAGTACTAAGATTTTAGGAAAGGTAAAAAGATTCAAGATTCAAGTAATAATTTACATATATGAGTAATTTTTTAGTATTTGCACCTAAATTGAAATGAAATATTATAATGAATGTAATGATGCCTTAGCAATTAAAATTATTTTATATTTTAGCCGTTATAACTAATGTAATGCTAATTAGTTATACATGATATTTTTTCCTTTTTAATTTAAGATTGACAAGCTAGTAAGAGCTGGTGCTAATGTTCTAGCACCTATACCTATTGGACCAAAAAGGAACATGGGAACGGTTGTTGACTATGCTTACTACATGTTTTATCAGGTGAGATTTGTAATGAGTGACTGTACTTTTTGGAATTCTCTCATGATTTGATGAATTAGATTATGAATAATTTAAATTTATTCCAGGAACAATGGTTGAGTGTGATGTTATGTTAAGTCAAATGAAATATTTTTAGCCTTTACATATTGTCACCTTAGTGCAGTAACTGGTTAACTCCTATTAAATTACGGTATATGAGGAGTTGACCCATTAATGCACTAAGGTGATAATTTATTGCTCTTATATGCTATGGCTTTAAAATTGCCCCAGAAACTTTAAATCAACTCATTGAGGAAGTTATCTAGCTAGCATATTACTATATCAGTGGTTCCAACCCAGGCTTTCCTCACAAAATTTAAAAGTTTGGATATTGCTACATGTATAACTATGGTGTTAAGAATGCTATATAGAACTAAGTACAATAATACCTTCAAGGAATATGCCCCTAAAGAAAACCCATATGTCCCAACAATGTAAAGTTAATTTGTGGATCTATGTAGATTTCATTGTATTGTTTTTAGCATTATATCATAAGTCATGGTGAATACTGTGCTAAAATATCCTTTAATAGTCCAATTAATTAATTGTATTTTATTAAAATGTATTGCAATTTTTTGTACAGATTTAGCTTTGTGTCAATGTTACAGGTAATTGTTACAGTTATTCAATCATTATTGTTGAATTTTCACAATTTTTCCATTTGTTTAATTTTTAGAACCCTTCTTGATTCTGTTGTCACTGCATTGAAAATGTGAAAAAATTCACACCAATTTATTGTTGTTACTCCATTGAATATGTGAAAAATTCCCTTCAAGTTACTGTTGTCACTGCATTGAAAATGTGAAAAATTCCTACAAGTTTTTGTTATCACTGCATAATGAAAATGTGAATAAAATCATATCAATTTATTGTTGTTACTCCATTTAAAATGTGAACAATTCCATACAATTTATTATTGTTACTTCATTGAAAATGTGAAAAATTTCACTACAAGTTCTTGTTATCACTGCATATGTGAAAAACCCCTACAATTTATATTTATCACTGTATTGAAAATGTGAAAAATTTAATCCCTACAATTTCATGTTGTCAGTCTGTTGATTATGTCTAAAATTTCCCAACAAGATGCTGTTGTCATCCAGTGAAATATTTTTAAAAATCCCTACAAGTAACTGTTGTCATCCAGTGAAATATTTGAAAATATCCCTTCGAGTTATTGTTAATTGTCATTTATCAATGTTGACATTTTATACAAATTATTCAAAATAGAATTATAATGTTTTATTACATGCTTTTTGGTGGTTTATAGAAATATATTAGTGAGATATAAACTGGTAATTTCACTGTTTGAAACAGTGAAATTATCAATTTGATATTTTTCACTGTTTTAAATTGAAGCCTGTTATGTTGTTTCAGTGAAATACCAGAGTGCACATAGCTGGAAACCAACTTAATAACGTGACATCATAAATGATGTCACGTTGTATTATTATTTGGCACGCTTTTCATTTAGTTCTAGTTTAAAATTACTTTTTAAACGTTTCTTTGCATATGATAAAAAGAAAATTTGTTTAGTTTAGAGTAAGATCGAAATATATTTCACCTCATGACCCGTACGAAAAAGATAGCAGGATTCCGCCTAATATTAGCAGGAAAACGCTTAAAATTTCCGTGTATATAAGATTTTCCTGCTAATTTAAGACGGACACGGAATTTTGTAAAAAATCCTGCTAAGCAATTTCATATTCCGCCTAAGGCTTAGGCGGAAAATATGGGATGAGCAATAATTTAGACGGGTTTTAGGACTTAGAATTTTGTCAGTTATTTGTTAACAGGAATTATGTACTTAGAGTTTTTTGTTAACCAGAAATTGAACTTAGAAAATTTTACTAGACAGATTTCTGAATTTGGAGAAATTTCTGCAGATGACAGGTAAATGATAAATCGAATATTAAGTGATCAACAATTATTTTGCTGCTTTTATTCATTGTTAATTTTCAAAACTAAAATATTGTTTGTACAAACATAAACATACATAATCATTAATTGATAAAAAAAACTCCACAACAAAACTAAAACTTAGAACATATATAATGATGTTGTGATGACTTTTGCATAGAATATATTTCACTGTGTTAAATTTGGGTATGAACTAAACTCATATATTAAGCTCTTTAATGAAATATAATTAAATGAGTAATATCCCTGAAAATTTCTTATCACCAGGATAAATAAATAAATACTGCCTCTAGTAACCACTCTACTATGATTTAACACCATAGACCTGATAACACACAGGTCAGATCGTAAATTCTGCTACAGTCCAGACTGTTCCATGTGATTTATTTGGGGGGAAGCAACAGTTACTTTGTACATTTTATATGATGAGTCTGTAAAGAAGGACTTTGCAAAGTTTTTTTTAAAGATATTTATTATGAATTTTGGATTCTTTTTCCATTTATTTTCTGGTATTTTTATATAATTGTGAAAATAAAACGATGGGTTGGATTATCCCTGTTTACCATCATATCATGGACTTGTCCAAAATTTGAAATCTAGGAAATATGGGTCAGCAGAAGCTGAGACAGTGGAAAGAAAGCAAATAACAAAGGATTTTATTGATAGTTAAAAATTGTGGTGATAACATATAAGCAATTTTTGAGATAATATTTTGTTTAAAGTGTAAGGATTGAATATTTTTGAATTTTTCAAAGAAAAAAAATAAGACTTAACCTTGTGAATGAAAATGACAATAATCTGGATATGCTCAGTTGTAAATGAATTTTGAATGCTACATTATGACCTTGGATAAGAAGATAAATACCAATATCATAAAAATTCAGGTAAGTAACTTTTGGATACATTTAAACAATAAAAATATATTTCAAATAAATTAAATAATTTTGCATTAAGTTTGAGAGTAAATTTGTAACACTAAGTTTGGTTGTAATGAATTATAGTTTAAATGCATGTATAATTATAACTGCATACAATGACAAGAAACAATAATATAAGATATTAGTGGTGGCAGTGTTTTACTGATGACTGTTTGTGTTTCAGGATATGTCTCAAGCTGGTGTAAAAAGAATGGGAGAGGAGAAGTCAAGGACAAGGATATTAACGATGCCATAACTTAAAGCAGATCAGTTATGCTTGGAATAAAAATGAAAACAACTGGCTGAACAGAAAACATTTACAGTGAAATAAAATGAAATAATTTGCCATGGATTAAAACAATACAATAGCAGTGCAATAAAAAATATAACTCGTGTTTCTGTTTTTTGTGTGACTCTTTTACGTACTGTACATGCACCCTAATGTAGAAAACATTATGGTAAAGCTCACAAAAATAACTTAAAAGCTTTGTAATTGTGATCACCTATTGTCTGTCTGCAATTTTGGATTCCAATTATTCTTATGCAGCTAAATAATAATGTTGTATCCATCCATAATTCAGCTTTATTAGTGTACTATCACAAAATTGAATAACTTCATTTCCTTAGGCGGATTTTTTGCTAGTATTCCTTAGGAAGAATTTTCTCCTGCTAGTGATTTTCTAAGTAGGTATTTTTTTCCTGGTTAAAATATTTTAGGCGGAATTTTTTCCGGCTAAGAATTTTCCTAAGGCGGAATTTTCTCCTGCTAGTGCTTTCCTTAAGCTGAATTTTTTCCTGGTTAAATTTTCTAAGGAGGATTTTTTTCCTGCTACCCTAACTGTTTTCCTCCTAAGAAAATTTGCATATTTCGCAGCGTATTCCTGCTTATAGGAGGAATCTGTGATATGTAAACCTGAAATGCCTTAGACGGATTACGCCTAGTAGCTAGGCGGAATTTCTGCTTTCTTCAGGGCGGAAGTTTTCGTACGGGAAACACCAAAAGTTCATATTTCACTCGTGGCTGCACCACTCGTGAAATATACCTTTTGGTGCTCACTCAGTGAACTATATTCCTATCTTACACTGAACTAAACAAAATTAATATCCTCTATATTGATAGCTAAGAAGAAAAAAACTGTTCTTTCTGTTTTAACAGAATTGTAACTATTTTATATGTCTGCCACAGAAAACTATGTTTTCACTTTGAGGCATGTTAGTGTTATAGTTTTATTTATCATAAAATCTTTCAATTTTGTTTATACAGTAGTTTCAAGTTTTTGCATGAATTTTATGGGGGTTTTTTTGTTTGTTTTTTTCTTCATCCAAATAACACCAAGTATTTCAGGAAAATTTTCTATACTAGTATGATTATTGTAAACTGGATGTTTACCTGTATTTGATTCATGGTTGTACTAAAAGTTTGTTTGTGTCTGCACAATACCAAGTAATGAAGGCATTAAAATTGATACCCTGTTATTCCATGAACATGACCAGTCAAATATCTTTCTGTTGCTTGCTTGGTGCAAGATCTAATATATTGTTGCCTTAGTGCAGTAACAGATTAATTTCTTTTAAGTTATATTAGAAGTTTACCCGTTATTTAGCCTTATTACTTCGGCGTGAACGATTGGATTCATTTTCAGACTGTTTTTTCATACTTTCAAACAGTTAATATGACATGTGAAAAATTGCATTAATGATGGGCATTATGATTTTTTTTAGTTTTTTAATGACTGAAGAAGTTATTTATAATAATAATTGAAGTGGTACAGATGATAACAATAAATTAATTTTACTGTTTATCTTACAGGACACACATATAGCCAAGACTCCATACCATGCTCTCACCCATGCCGAGCGTGAAACCTTTATTAATCGTCGTAAATTGTTAGAACATGTTGGAGATATACTTAGAATTAAAGCTGTTGATAGGGAGAAGAGAAGACTTGATGATGAGCACAGGGAGGGAGTTAGAAGTTTGTTTAATATTTGATTTTTTTTAAAACCTAGAATTGGAGATGAGAGCTGTTTTAAATGCTGAATTATAGCAGCCATAAACTCCTTTGAATATAGCATGTTCTTGCTGCAGCACTTTATCATTATAAACAAATAATGAAAGTTAATAATCACAAAATGTTGTAAAAATAAATCAACAAGTTTTATGTACTAAATTATATATTGGCAGATTTTTTAAGAACTTTTAACATTACCTTTTATGTTTTTATAGTGAGTCTGCCAGTCTGACCTCATGTAACATATTAAAAGTGGCATAGTAACTTTTAGGCATCACTAATCAGATAGGCTAAGTTAAATATACATAAATCTATATTCACTGTGACATCATCATTCATTGGTTTATATAAATGTTATACAAGGCAGAAGTATTTAGAGACAAGTTACTTTTTTAAGTAAGTCCTTTTTAAGGAACCCACTGAATGTAATCTAATATTAAGACTACATGGCAACAAATTGTGTTGAGCAAACATATTAGAGTATAATATAGATCAAGTGTGAGTGTCACCTTCTTACAAATTCAGATGTTTGTATCTCTGGTGAACAAGTTTTAATTTTTCACAGGTGCAAGTCCAAGCAGTGGATTTGTTTATATTGGGGCTGGTGCTCAGCTTCCTCCAGATGCTAAAAAGCCCAAATTTCTACGGAACCAGCCAACGGCTGGTGGGGATGCTCCAATGGTGACATTTGAAGGGCCACAAGGGGGCTCAACTCCGTATGATACTGGTGAAACAGAAAGTATTAAAGGACCTCGGTATGTTTCTTAATCAGTCACATTTATATTTTTATCAACTGTCAAACTATAATTTAAATATATTAATCAGATTTTTTTCTTTTTAATTTTAGGCTGAAATGCTATCAGTCAAATACTTTAGGTGCAAGTTTTTGATTTTTGATACACAAGAGCTTGTCATTTATTCCATAACAATGATTATGACCTTTGGACTTAAAGGGCAAAGATATTTTGCTTCATAAACTGTTAAGACACAAGTTTTTTTCCTACTTGAATTTGGAAAAAAATACATGAATGATACTCTAAATGTGTATGTTCATGATGATCTCATCTATGGTTTGAAACTTTTTTAAATTTGATATATGAAAACATTATATTCAACTTATGGTTGAGACCATAGCTAAATTTAAGTTCTTTCATAAATGAGACCATAGCTAAATTTAAGTTCTTTCATAAATGAGACCATAGCTAAATTTAAGTTCTTTCATAAATGAGACCATAGCTAAAGTTCTTTCATGGATGAGACCCTAGCTAATTTCTTTCATGGATTAGGCCATAGTTCATTCATGAAGTATCCACCATACTTCAAATCATAGATGATACTAAATTTGATTTATGGTTATAAATGACACTATATATAGTTAATTCATGATTCATCATCAGTAATATTATTCTGTCATCGATAAGAGCATAATTATATAGATAATTTAAAGAGGTGAGGGCTATAAGTTACAGCTTCACTTCATTCATGGAGGAATGGCTTAATTTTTGCTAGTGGCATTCCAGCTTTGATGGCAAGAAATTTAAACATAACAACCCTAAAATTTTTATTAAAGTTTAACCTTATCAAATGCAGTAGAAATAAATTTATATCAAACAATACACTGTAGTATTTTGTTTCTAATTTAGTGAGGAAGACACTGTGTTTGGAAAGTAAGTTAATGAGATATATAATTCCTTGTGTGTTGAGGGTTTGAAGCATATGTGTATTGCCAAATTGTTTTGTCTACACATGCATATTCTTATCAAATTAAAAAAAGCATATGTTATGTTCCTGGTGTATTGAAGGCTTGGTTTGAATCATGTGTATATGAGTTTCCAAATTGTTTTTGTCTACACATGCTTTGTGTTATTTACAAATTAATGGCTTATAATATGAACATATATATACCCCAGTGTGTTGATGGCTTTGAACATATATTGACTGTCCTATTTTTGTCTATTCCTATGTATTCTCGGAAAAACCCTTACTATTCCATGCGTGTTGAGAATTTATAATCCACACGTCTATTGCCATATTTCAAATATCTACACACTAATATTCTTTATTTCATAAATAGCATATCTATTTATATTGTGTGTTGTGGATTTTAAAAAACATATGTGTTTTGCCTTTTTGTTATGTCTACACTTGCATATTCTTGAAAAATCAATGGCATAGACACATTAAAATATATATGTTGACTGTTCTATTCATAATTGTATGTGTTAGGCTGTCTTTTACAGAATAAACTTAATAAACATTTCCACAGTGTTACTTTGAAAATATCTGACATATGTTGCGGTTTTTTGAGGTATGGGTATTTTGCGTTAAGGTTTACTTGTGTGTTGGCATAATGTTTGTTACTTTGTGCTTTTTCTGCTTGAAGCCTTTTGTTTCATATACAGCTTAATTATTTATTTCAATCAATCTTAACTGTTGAATGATGTGATAAAGTGATTCGCATCTGCCACCTTTCCACAAATAAATTCTTAAACCCTCACCTACTGAAACCTTTTGCCACTGCGGGTATAGTGCCAGGCCACAGTCTTTACTGTTGGTTGACTAACTTTAAATTTTCATCTTGATTATGTTTAAAAAGGACAGCTCCAAAAAAGAAACGTGGACAAATCTTTAAAAGATTCAGCAGGTTAATGGTTAAAGACTTGATAGCTTCATCACATATCTATAAAGACAAAAACAAAAACCGAAAAGGCGTATTGGATTTTCTCTTTAATGCACCTTTTACAGATCAGCATTAATTAAAAATTTCTCTTCAGTTTTAAAAGTGGATATATTAAAATCAAGGGATCAATAACATGCAGACATACCTTTTGATTTTTTTAAGCTTTAGAAACTGTAAACAGCCTGTTGATAAGAACTTCTTTTTTGACCCATTTAACTATGACCTTGACCTAAAAATATTGACTTTCAAGGACAAATTTTCAAAGTTTAGTAAATTTAATTTATTTTTTTACTGGTTCCTTTATTAGGATATTTTTTTGCAATTTTTGTGAGACTTAAAGTCCATTGTTATTATGTTGTATTATTTTCTATTTTTACGAAGCTGGATGTATATTAAGGTGATAGAGCCAATGTTTGTACCTATACGGTAAATACTGCATGCCTGGCTTGACATGAAAACATGTGTCTAATGCAAGAAATGATTAATTAATACCTTCTTTGAAATCAGAACAGCATGGCTTTACTTGAGTTTTTATATGAAATGGTTTTGAAAATGATTTTGTTTGTTATTATTTTCATTAATTTTGTTGTAAGGTATTATCGAAACTATCTGTTGAAAAGATCCCAAAGAGTGCTGTAACACTTTACCTGCAGAAATTGTGTTATGGCTTTGCCTTGCTTTGAATTTGAAACAGTTTGTTCCATATTTAAATGGATTTAAATGTCAAAAAACAAAAACGTGGACTACCAACGGTATAGAACCTGATAAGACTGCACAGATTCCCAGGCTGGTCTTAGTCTCATGCAGGCTCTATACTGGTGGAACAGCAGGTTCAGAGTTAAAGTGGTCTCTGATGCCAAGTGGCCTTAATACAAAGGTTCCTTTTAAAGGCTTGAATGAATTGAGAAAACACATTTTTATACAATTTTCGTATTTAATTTAAATCTAAAATAGCAATATTTGTCCTAGTTTTGTTGGCTTTTTTTTAAGATTTGTGCCATTCAGTGAATAAGTCACGAACCATTGAAAATTTTGAAATATAATATAGATTATAACTTAAAGACAGATACTTTGTTGTCAGATGTCATTATATGCATGAAATATGCAAGTTAAATGTTACATTATTGTTATCAGTAAAATTTGTTTCTAAGAACTTTTGTGATTTTAAGTTTGAAAATTTTGGTTGCTTAAATATACAATATAGTAGAAAACAATGATGGTCATTTAATGATGCTCTCCCTTTTTTCCACTTAATTTAACACGATACTAGTAAATGTGTTAGAATATAATACTGCATGGTACTATTATTATTACTTAATTGTATTTGTTTGATGGTTTGCTGATTGGAACTGTACTTATAATGTGAAAATTATGTCATATTTAACCAAGATCAGTTGCTTCATTGATCAATCAATCAGTAAACCAATAAATAAATCAATCAATCAATTAATCAATTAATTAACTTAGCAACCAAATAATCAGTCTTACAGAATCCTCTATTCTAATATAACTTGTATCATCAGTTTTTATCATTTATAAAATAATATTTTAGGATTTTAATGTCAGTAGCTTGTGCAAAGTTTTTATATAAATGGGTTCTCTCATGAATGGAAACAAAAAGTCTTGAAACAGGAAAGTTGTGCACTGCATGTCTTTTATAAATTATTACATATGCCTGCAAGTGTTTTTTGCTGTGTGTCTTTTGATGTAATATTTGCTTTATTTTTTATGGCTAAATAATTTCCATGGCAACAAATTTTTGATGCACTTTAACAGAATGATTTTGTATTTATTTAAAAATTAATCAAGTGCTTTGTTTGTAACAGAAGTTAATTTTTCTACTTATTAAATCTTTTTAGGACTGTATTTCATTAATTTAAATACAGAAAATCAACAGATGTCTGAAACTTGTATTTAAAGGAACTCCACTGAGATTTTTTGACATTTCAGGACGTGAAATATTTTTTTGACATTTATGTACCATCTGATTTAAGCCTGAGCCAATAACTTGTGTATGAAATTTCAGATCATTTGCCAAGTTATATGCATATCTTTCCGTTTTAAGTGCCTGAGAAAGTTGATTCATGTAAGAAATTCAAATTTTATATGTTTTAGGATTTTTGACTTTAGTGGAGTTGCTTTAATAATCATGATTGTGTTTATTTTGGTCAGTGCTTTTGTATTGAGAGTTACAATATTAGACCTCTATGGGTGAGTGGTTGAGGTTCCTGAATTCAAACCACTTGCCCCTTGCTGATATGGGTTTGAATCCCACTAGAGACTTTGGATACTTTCATGTTTGGATGTGATCAATCCAGTTTACATTATGTTAGTGGCTCTAGTCAAATACATACGTTGATGGTTTTTGATATGATGCAGTCACAGGGGCACCTGAAGTTTTCCTGTCCACCATGCAGTATCTGAGCTGGAAAGTTGCCACATTTCTTTAACATAGCATCAGTGTTACTTAAAATTATTAAAAAAATATATATAATTTATGTAAGTAATTGTAATATTTTTATTTATTCTAGTTATTTTAAACATTTTTAGCAGTTTTGCAATACATAACAATGTGTATTGCATGACAGCAGCTACATATAAGGAACATGTAAGAGGTAACCCTTCACAGAGGGTAAGGTTTGACACAAGGTCACTGGGCAAACCAAGGTCAGAAAATATCAACACAAAACCCTTAGTTTATATCCCCATAGCTTCAATTATGTTAGCTCAGTTTTACTTATCTTATATTGGGTTTATGATTTAAGTGGAAAGGTGTATTTCTAAAATGTCAGCTTTTTAATACATTTTTAGTCATTTCTACTTATGGCTTAGTATTTATTTACTGATTTATTATAATTTCATTTTTCTTTGGTTGGAATTAATTTGAGAAATTGTAGGTTTTAACCTATCAGTTCAGAAAAAATGGGGAAAATTCTTATTTAAGAAGCAAATAAATTCTGAAGAGCTAAGTTAAACAGAAGCAAATAAATTCCTAAGAGCTAAGTATGTGATTAAAACTTAAATGGTAACAACTAGTATCACTATTATTACTACTACTATAATAATCATAATTGTTATTACATGTATTGTTAAAATTTAAATTAGAATATTTTATTATCCCCGCCGAAAATTTTCGGCGGAGGATATAGAAATAGTCTCCGTCCGTCCGTCCGACCTTCCGTCCTTCCGTCCGTCCGTCCTTCCGTCCAACATTTTTGTCCGGAGCAATATCTCTAAAAGTATTTGAGTTATCAACTTGAAACTTCATAGGTGGATAGACCTCATTGAGGAGGAGTGCAGTGAACAAGAATGATAACTCTACCTTGCATGATTTTTGAGTTATTGCCCTTTGTTATTTTTCAAAATTGATTTTTGTCCATAGCATAACTCAAAAACCCTTTGAGATATCAAAATGAAACTTCATAGGTGCATAGATCTCACTCAGGAGATGTGCACTGCACAAGAATGATAACTCTACCTTTCATAATTTTTGAGTTATTGCCCTTTGTTATTTTTCATACCTAATTTTTCACCTGAGTGGAGCATAACTCAAAAAGTGTTTGAGATATCAACATGAAATGTCATAGGTGGATAGATCTTATTGAGGAGGAATGTTGTGCGCAAGAATGATAACTCTTCCCTATACAATTTTTGAGTTATTGCCCTTTGTTTTTTTTCATGCTATTTTGTCCAGAGCTAATCTCAAAAAGTATTTGAGGTATCAACTTGAAACTTCAAAGGTGGATGGATCTCATTGAGGAGGAGTGCAGTGCTTAAGAATGATAACTCTACCCTGCATTATTTTTGAGTTATTGCCCTTTGTTATTTTTCACAATTAATTTTTGTCCAGAGCATAACTCAAAAAGCCTTTGAGATATCAAAATGAAACTTCATAGGTGCATAGATCTCACTCAGGAGATGTGCACTGCACAAGAATGATAACTCTACCTTTTATAATTTTTGAGTTATTGCCCTTTGTTATTTTTCAAACTTAATTTTTCAATTCAATTTTTATCTCACAAAGTATTTGAGGTATCAACTTGAAACTTCATAGGTGGATAGATTTTACTGAGGAGGGATGCAGCACACAAGAATGATAACCTACCCTGCATTATTTTTCAGTTATTGCCCTTTGTTATTTTCAGCCATCAGTATTCACATAGGTTTCAAATCTGTAATTACTATAGCCATCAGTTTTCATTACCAAAAGACCTCTTAAAATGGAATTATTCTGCTCTACTACATATACATTCTTCCAATGAGCAAACACATTCGGCGGGGGATGGCCATGTTGACATGGCTCTTGTTATTACATGTATATAATATTATTTTGCTTTTAGCAACCCCAAGTTATAGATATTAAAGTAGGAAGTTTACAAGGGAGTAAAATGTAATAGATAATTTTATTTGAATCATGCTGGTGCCATATTGATGACACTGATGTGTAGCCAATCAAATGTGAAGAAATTACTCATCAAATGTACTTGGGAGTAAATTATAACAGCGCATTAGCATCATGTATAATCATAGAAATTCATAGATCTGCAAAAACACCTGTGTTAGAATTGAAATAGAAAGAAAAAGAATTATGAAGCTTACTTTGAAGAACTGTATGAGGAATTGGGAGAATAGATTTATTACAATTTTGGGGTCACCTGTATACAAATTTCTTTTCTTAAGAAAGAATAGAACAGAAATGTTCATACATAATTATATAGATCTATAATATTGTAGTCACCCTTTTCCCCATAATTATTTTAATTTCGTACAGCAATTATTTGGTTTAAAAATGATTTGTTCAACAAGTCTGAATTATGTTCTTATGTTCTTTGTTATTTTTATGATTTAACATTTTTTTTTATAAATTTCTTTGCTTCTTAAATTGCTTAAATAGTTTACTGGGGTAAATTAAATTATTTGTTGAATTGGAATCAAAATGAGAGAATCTAAAGAAATAGTTATGCCATGTTGACTATTCTTTATAGTCATGATGGGGGAATTGTATGAAATTCTCCAAAGAGCTGTCACGGTGTAGACTTTCTGAGAAATAAAAATAAAACAGGACTTTTGAAATAATGTTTTTAACAAATAGATGATTATCATTTGAATATTCTTGTAGGATATGAATGAGTTGAAATGAAAATTCCTGCTTTCAAATTGTTTTTTTAGAAATAATTTTTATTGTTATTTGTATTTATTTAAATACTTGAGTCTGCAGTGTATTTTTTAAAAAATATTTTGTTTTCAGATGCTTTAAAAGCAATGTTAGAGAATAATTGAGATCTATGTTCCATTGTTTTTCATCTTCTCTTTAATGTAGCATTTATATAATTATAAGATCTAATTTAGATCTTTCAAATTGAACATTAAACATTATTCCCCTCCTGGGGTTGATAAGAATTATGTTGTGCATGCAGTGCAGGCAAAATGTCTTTTACAATGACTAAAACATAGTTGAAAGGTAACAGCCGAACCTTCGTTAAAGACCATCTCTGAATACCTGGTCAATAACCCTCTAAATATAGCCAACATTTTGATAACCCTTCATTGATAAAATCAGAGGTGTAGATATCTATGTCTCTGATAAAACAGAATAAAGTTATCTCCAAAGAAAGACCTCTTGTCTACAGAAACCATGGTTTCTTTTTCCCTTGGGTGGCTTATGTTCCTATGGTTTGACTGTGTATGTATTAAAGAACAAATGTGGAGTAAAACTATCATTTAAGAGTGATTCTGTTTTTATTTGCAATGATATTATCTGCAGTAGTAAGTTGCTTTTTTAATCAATTTTTTTTCTGCTTTTTAGCCCAGATTTTAAATATGTTCTGGTAATATTTTATTATTTATTTAGTTATAGGAGAAAACAGGTTACATTTAGGTAAATAATGAGAGAAAAAAAAACTTAGATAAGTAAAAATTGTATACACATTTCTAACAATGTAGCCATCTTGTAGACATTTCTATACATGTATATATTCTAAGGCTATATATTTCTTTCTACTATATATAAGAAATAATTATATCAACAAAATGAAATCATTTGTTTATAATTATGTAATATCATGCCAATACATTGTTCTCTAGGTTCTGTTTTTCTATTCAACACCTGACTGTGACCCCATCCCCCTGAAAAATATAACATCTTTATACAATTCATTAAACATTTCTTTTCATTTACATTGTAAACTCTTTTGAGTTGAGTCTTTTTTTTTCTTACTGATTTTGGTGATGGCTGGTGTAATTCTAGTGATTTTCTACTACCATGTAGAACTATATTTTTGAAAATGACATTTATTTTGTTTAAATTTTAATGTGACAGTTTTTAATTTCAATTGGGACAGTTCAAGCATTCTAATTGCTTATTCACTTTGAGACATAGGGTTAATATATGTGTACAAATGGTGACTATACTAGTTTATATATTTTAAGTTATTTACAACATTTTAATTAATTTGAGCAATTAGACTGAGGTGAGTGAATAAGGCCATCATGGTCTTCTTGTATTAATTTTTGTTCCTTAACAGTTATCTTGAAAAAATGAAATTTACTTTTAGTTTAAGTTCAAAGATTTCAGATAAATTTTGTTCTGAATGGAATCAAATTTTGAACTTTTATCCTCACTTTTTTCCTGTCTGTGACTTGTGTCCTACTCAAGTCAATTATAATATGTGACCTTTGACATTCAGTTTGTCTGAATAGTTGAAAGGTAAAATGTGTGTTTGTCATGGTTCGAACTTACCTTGTTTATTGACTAAATAGAGAATACTTATTTATTATCTTTTGGTTAATTACATTTACATTTTTTGGTTATTTATATCTTGTTTACAGGAAGCCACTGTTCAAGTACTGCTATCAGTGTGGTCGGTCTGTGTTTGTGCGTCTGTCTGCGTGCACTAGATGTAAAGAGGTATATTATTGTAGCAAGGTGTGTAAACTGAAAGCCTGGAACCTTCGCCACAAGGAAGAATGTATCAGGATAGGTGGTGAGTAGAAGTTTAGTTTATTCAGCAATAAAGTACGGGATTATTTTTAAGCCACAAAAATTGTTTGCGAATCCCACCAGGGACTATTAATGTGAGGAAACTAATATAGCTGAGCTTACAAAAGGTTGTTGGTTCTTCTGTTAGGTGTCGGTTTGAAATTGAAATAAGAAGAGGGATGGCACCTGAAATCCTCCTCTACCAATAAAGTTAGATTGTCACCATATGATGTCAGGACTCCTAAATTTAGGTCATTTGGAGGTCAAGTGGTTATAGCTTAACTATGTGATATTCATGTTGAATTTCAAGCCAAAATTTAAAAAAAACTAAATTGACCTAAATGTACCATTCCTAGGAAGAGGCTGGGAGAGCCAGGAGCAAAGCAAAGGGAAGTAACTGATATGGGCCAATATGTACATCTAATATAATTATAATGCTGGAAAATAATAAAATATTAACTGCTTTCATACATATTTTGTGTCCAATATAGGGAGGTCTAGAAGTCCAAGTCCAGCAACCCGTCGTCAGCGTGCTGAGAGTCCAACGCCCGCCACAAACCCTGACAAAGGAAAGAAAACAACTGTATCTGAGCTGAACAAAGATAAACAATCACTGAGGATACATGTAAGTGCTGGGATGGGACAGTTTTATTAGATGAACTTCAGTAATGAGGGAATATTCTTGATAGTTGACACAGTTGTTTAATAATTACTTGTATGTTTCCATTCTGTAGGAGTTACTTGACCTGTTCAATAGTTCACATTTGATATGTGTGCCATGTGAAACGATGCCAATTTGTTGTATAATGAGCTTGAATGATGCAATATACATTATAAAATCAGCTAAAATGATTCTGAAAACCCATTGAGTGTTTGGCTTTTCTTGAACAATGAAAGTATAATGTCTTCAGTTATTATAGTATTTCTTGTACAAGATGATTTTTACAATTTTGAATATCTAAACTTAAAGATCATTATTTTTCACCCAAAAGGCATCTTTTCAAAAGACTAGCTGCCTGATATTTAGGCATGTCTCTTACCTTTACAGTCATGTACACATACCTCAGTCATCAAATTTTGTATTTACATTGACAACAGATTTATTTTTACTGAAAAAAAATAGTTAACCATTTATGTGGTAAAGCTTCAATGATTATTCTTTGTATGTTTTAAGAATTAAAAAAAAAAGATTTTAAATTTGAAGTGTTTTAATAATTTAAAGGAAAAGTCAACAAAAAATCTAGTCTGACAGGCTAATTTATTTTTTGAAAAAAAAAAAATCAATTTTGTACATATTATAGTACATGTAGATTTATATAAAAACTACAATTATAGCTAAATAAACATGTGTATTTTGTTGTCTGACAAAATGGGACATTTAGCATAATATGAGGGCTTAAATTTTTTATCAATTCAATTTCTGAGCTGACACAAGTTTTTTGTTTTTATTTTCCAACAATTACAGGACACTGTAGGACTAGGTGCTCTTACTATTTAATTCTCTCACTGTAGTGAACTTTCATACCACATTGCTCTTCTAAAAGGCTGTCAACCATTACTTTACAATTATGTATTATAATCTCACAAAAGGAAAAAAATCAGTTTCTTTAGTATATCTAGCTTTGATAATGAATATTATATCATAGAATTTGAGTTAAGTCAGGTTCAACCATTGAAATATAACAGACCTTGCTGAGTATAAAGACTGCTGGCTTGGTTTTAAACCATTGTCACAGGCCTTATTATTTTCTAAATAGTCAGTGATTTATTTCCTGCTCACTTTTATTACTTTAATATTAATGATTACAGTGTAATGAACAACTCAGTTTTTACTTTCCCCTTATTTTCTCCCCTATCTCTAAGGTAAGTTCATGGGGAAAATGAGCTGTGTTTAGACCATTCATCTGTCTGCCACACTGCATGGATAATGTGTGTATGGGGGGCAGAGTAGGGCTTGCAGCCAGTATTGTGAGGTTAAATGTTTTTCTAGAAGTGTTGTAGGGTCTTTACTATTTGACCATTCAATATTATTTTCTTTCGGGTTTTACTGGGGCTTAGAAACTACTTTTAACTTGAATTCCAATCATTCTACATTCTAGGTCTTTTCCGTAAGCTTCTTTCTAGAAGGTCGAAGTGTTTCTACTCAAATACTTGCCAATCTACTTACCCTAGGGACATCTGGGGACTTCCCTAATACTAATGAAGCTAGACAGTGACCTTACAACCTTGGTGCGGTTGATGTTCAATTTTAAAACCAGAAGTATAATCCCATAGTTGAGTAACTATGTATGTCTGTATGGTGTATCATTTTGAAATATGTAATACATCTATGATGTCTTCCTTAAGAAATGGTTGACAGCTTCATTGATCTTTTTCTGTCTTGAAATTAAGGTGCAAGGCTCAAAAGAACATGTTTTCACATTAATTTTCAACAAACTGCCACTGTGTATACTTTTTTCTTTAGATACACAAAATCACGTGTGACTGGTATTAATGTTTATAATTAGAAAAGGGTAGTTGAATATATATTTTTTTGTTCCTGGGCCTAAAACTAGGAAATATACCAACAAAATATAATGTTTATTTGATATAAAAAAACAACTTCATGATTTAATATGATACACTACTCGAATAATTTATATTATTTTACCAATATAAAAGAAAAATATAAACAAATTGTGTACTTTTTTAATGTTTGAAGGCGAAAAAAATTGATCTGTTTTCAGTCTTCTTAATTTTACAGAAGTACTTATAATAATTATAAGCAATACGTTGTATTTATATTACATGTATTTATGTTTAGTTTTATGCTATGGTTTTTCTTTACAATCAATTTGTTATGATAGATTAAACATTAAATTTATGTTAGGCCCTCAGACAACAAAAATCTCGTAAATTTGATGCTTTTTTAGAGAAAGCTTTCTAAAAACATCAAAATGTTTTGAAATTTCATTTCAGAAAAAATTGGGATATGCAGCACAAAGTATAAAAGTTTGTTTAAATTTCAAGATTATGATTAAATTGATTTGGTTTATCTGTTTTGAATATTAATTAGTATATTATGCAATGCTTACATTTATTTTATGCTTTTGAGTGGATTACTGATTTACACCACTCGTGAAAATACTGTTTTTAAAGTTCGCTCGATGAAATAAAATTTCATCTTACACAAAAACAAATGAATAACCTCTATGTATTTTTTTTCCATATTTCTTTATTTATAGAAGTGACTTAATAGAAGTTGTTCATTTAATAGAAGTTGTTCATTTTAGTATTTTTTACACTCCAGATTTAAACTTGATTGTAGACTGACTGCCATTTTATGAACTTTTGAACATAATGTTTCTTAATTTTATCATAAAATAAATCACTGATTAACGGAAGTAACTGCTAGTGTACAGAGCATTGGGGACTCTATTAAATTATTCAGGTTTATTATCATTTGTGCAGGTATTTATGTACACAGGGGCATGTGATGATGAACAGTGTACAATAAACTCAACTTATAATGATAATATGATATACTACTTAGTAACAATGTACCACTGATAACGATGCTGTTGCTGCAGTCCCGACTCTTGTCCTCATAACAGTATTTAATTTTGGCAGTCCCCTAAATATCATTTAAGTGGAGATTACTGTACATAGTTAAATTCATGCAGAAAGACTGACAATTGCTTAAAATAGCAGGTAGATTGTGAATTGACTGCAAAACTGCAGTAACTTATATGAAATAAAGAAGAACTTACAACAGTTTTGCGGCCAACACTCAAGATGCTTCCAAAGATATTTACTGAAGAAATTGTAACTATAATTGGGACAATATATGTATTCGCCAATGAAAATTCAAGAAATTGATTTGTTATAATCTTATGTACAGAGAGACGACGATATGGGAAGTCTAGGTGGTATGCTGGAGGAACTAGGATTTGATATAGATAAAACTGGTACCACTCGTGTTTACTGCTTCATGTGCAGATCATAACATTGCTCTATTAACATGACAATTATATGACATTAATATGACATTAAAATGATAATTATATTTAAATATGACATTTTACCATGGTTAGTCTTGTCTGAACTCACATTTCAATGTTTATTATGAATAATGAAATATATTTTGACACTGTTATATACCTGAGTATATATAAACTCAGATTGGACTAAATTGGTCCATTACTTACAAACTGGCCTCACAATAATTGCTTCTACCATTCAAAAGTCAATTTAAAAAAAAGAAGAAAAAAAATAACAATGTCATTAAAATGTGCTGCCTATACATGTGTACAAACAAAATCAAAATGGCAATGAAAATTATTACCTGTGTTCTGCACATTTAAGTCTTTGCAACATACATATTTTGTATTGCTTTTTATAGTTTCTAAGGTAACACATGATCCTTTATGGTCTTTTTTGTAAAGATGGGATGTGAGATCAGAGCATAATGCAAAATGTATGTGTTTTAAGTAACTGACTTAATATTTTGCTTGTTAACAGTTGCAGGGCCTGATATTGTCTGGGAGTTTTGCTGTTTGTTCTTAAATACATGTATTATAGAAATAAGTGTAGTAAACTGTGATAAAATGAGATCAAGTTGCCCATAATGTATTTCATACTGATAATGATTTTTATTGAAAAAGATGAAGTATTAGCCTTATTCAACATTTTGTCAGAATTTACAAGTCATAATACTGGATATTGTTCATTAGGTTTGCCTTTTCTTAGTGACATCTAAGTATATGTTAGTATTATAGAGAGATTCAATTTGACATTGACCATACAGCTAAATGTATTACAGTCCGGAACTTCGGAGCGCAACAGTCAAATAGCAAGCCGGGAACCGTCAGCCAAAGCCCTGTCAAGTCGGGTGTGCTCCGGGAGGGTTATGTCAAGCCGGGCGACCTCTGGTTATCCAAGGTCACATTGCGGCTCGTCTAGAGACTCTGAACGTAGTGTCTCTATCAAAAGTGGGCAGGTGATGTGCCCGATTATTTGACCTATAGATAAATGCACCTTAATCAAATTTGTACCTTATTTGGATATAATTACGCACTGCTTAAATTATGTTTTATACCTACACTCGCTTAACTTTAAATGTTCTCTCACAGTTTTAGCCTTTTCTAATGCGTATAATTTCAGTTTTTGAAATAATAAATGAACTGCCATTTTTATTTTTTATTCTATTTTTTTTTTAATTCAATTACACAATTTTATTGTTTTTTGGTGTTTTTTCTGTTGTTGTTTTTCAATTCACAATTGAGCAGTTAATTACCAGAACAAACTTTTTTTAACCCTATCTCAAACTGCTTTATTTGGTCAACTTTATTACTGTTTTATTGTTCTGAAATTTGGGGTTTTGTAATTCCAATTAGGTCAACATTTATGAAAATTCAATCACGCTCAGATCTATATATTTCTTATAAAAAGTAAATTATGTTATTGCTTGCTGTATTTTAGCTTGACTCTAGCATAATGTAATTATATTTCACTGCATTTTACATATTAATTAAGCATTTATACTTTAAAGTTGTCATTAAATATCTGAAGAATTGAAAAACATCAGAAAATGGATTACTGGAGGTCATGGTCGAATATTTATAAATCATAGTCATGGAATCTAGAAACTTTGTATTTTAAATAGAAAATACTTAGAATTGATTAATTAGCAATATTTAAATAATCTAATATAGATTCTAATTTACACAGCTGTAACAATATAATTAGGTGTTTTAATTAATGCATTTTTAACATTGGTAATGTTTCAGGTTTAGTGATGGCGTAATGATTATCACATTTATTGTTTAACTTTTTGCTATTTTCTAATTCTTTGTACCCAGATACTAAATCAGTTTGAAACAGATGTGTTCAAAATGAAGATTTGCAGTAGGCAAAGAATTAACAATTTCAACATTCTATAAATTGACAATTGACATTTTGAAATAAACATGGGAGATAATTGGATATTTTGAGTTATCAAAAAAATTATCATTAGAATATAAAAGCGAAGGATATGTCTTTCAAGAAAAGTGTCCAGCATTTTTAAACTGACAAACTGTTACCCTTCAGTCAATTAAATAGACTGTACAGCTTATGTACCATCAACCAGTGTAATATTCTTATCAGATTGCAGTGTCAAAATAATCGTTTAAGCTGTCAACAGTATGGAGGCATGGCCAAGTGGTTAATGTGTCAGACTAGGAATCAGAGAAATTTGCTATTCGAGTGGGTTCAAGACCAGTTAGGTACAATCTGTAGTTTTCTTAAGGAGAATATTTTACACTCATTGCTCAGTATTGGTTGGTTCTAGGAATGGATCCGAGAGTGTGTCTATAAGTTTCGTTAACTTGCTATAGAACGGAACAAAATAATTAAATTTAATTCTGTAAAAGCCAACACTGTATGGGAGTCTGAATAAGATTGCACTGGTGCACAGGCTGACATGGCTATATACAAGTGGTATTTACCAATCTGACTTAGTGTTACCAGATTTAGGTCAATGTGACTGCTTTTATAGGTTATAATTTTTGACATTATTGGAGGTAGTTTGGAACACATCTGTTTTCTTGCTGATTTAATACTTATACCTAGAGTGCTGTGCAGTTCATTTACAATTGGGGTGTAATAATGCATTATACATATTACATTTATGTTATTCATGTACTTGTGTTGTGGTTTTTTTTTTACTCTTATCTTCTGGCAATTGAACTTGTTACCAAATTTGTGTGAGATGGCAAATTCAGTGCCTAAGTGTTGTGTATTGTACTAGAACCTCAATGCAAAAATGTAGTTAATATTGCAACATGCAGTACAGATGCTGCATTGAACCTGTAAGATTATAATTGTTTTGTTGTTATACATATTTTATGATATTTTATTCTCACTTATTTATTTATTACAATAATATAATTACAATTATTGTTAATAAGTAGTTATAATTAATAAAGGCTTTATTTGCTACTTTATATGATAACTTAATTATATTGCTTACAAGTTGTAGGACAGTTTATAATGTTGAAGTGTAACAATATATTTTATATTTGTAATGAAGTTAATATACTCATAGTTTAATTCAGCATGCCATAATCTTTGTATAATGTTTATTTTGGTTTTCAAAAAAGGCATAATTATGGTTCTTTAAAAAGAAAAAAATATTTAAAAAATGTCATAATTGAATAAAATTGAAATAAAGCTTAAAGTTACAAGATGTATTGTAAACCAATCAAATTTAATGTCAAAGGTCAAGTTTATTTGTAGCAAGATATGGTAAGATCAAAGTGATAAAGTTATTTTTCAAGTGATGTTTTATAAGTCACTGGTTTAAACAATATTATCAAATTGCAGCTTCTTTAATTTTGCAATGATAACATCCATCAACTCAGAATTGGAGTTTATTTGTGTATACAGTGGTTCCATTGAAGAACATTTAACATAAGCATAACAGAAATGTGTTTGCCTGTCTTTTTCAGTGTAAAATTTGTTATAGTTAAAGTTATCTTGAGTCATATTTATGTATATTTACAGGTGCCCCGTAAAGGAATAAGACTAAGTGCCAAATATGGGAAGAGTGGTGGTGAACATGATTTTCAGTGGGGTGATGATGGCCGATATATCGATAATTACAGTTTTGAGTGAGAGAAACAAAGAACAACAAGCAAAAATGATTTTGGCAATACTAAAATTCACAAAATCACCATTTCGGACTGATTGACAAGGAGCTTGATTATTTGCTACATTTCTACACTCAGCTCTGTTAACTTCTTACAATACTTCTAAGATATTTAGCAGGCATTTGTTTTCACCAAAAAAAACTTAAATTCACAAAAAACGTGAGATTTAAATTTTCAGAAATCTTCCAGATTTTACATAAATTTGTTAGCATAGCCACTTGGTATGGCTGGTAGCACCAAAATAATGAGCCCAATAGATCAAACTGCTTACAGTTATCATTCTTATTCTTACTGTCTTGTATTTCCTTTCTTCACTGAATTTCAGTCATTTGTGTGAAAATATATGTATTCAAATACACTTATATTGAATGTATACTTAGTATTTATTTGATCTAAATATTATCTTCATGAGAAAAATTCAGTAACATAAATTAAAACTTTATATTATTACAGCTCTGTATACAGTCAAACATGTGAACAAAGGCCTGGTGACCCAAGGAAGATTTAACAAATAATTGTCTTTATAGACATGTGGTCTTTATTTTGAGGTTTCATTTTTTCCACTTTATCAATTAATTGTTATCAAAAGTGGCCTTTATTTGCAGGGTTATCTTTATTCAGAGTTGGCCCTTAACACAGGTTTGACTGTATTAACCCTTGACCTGCTGAATTTGTGTAATTTATATGCCCTGCCATTTTTAGTTTAAGGGCGTTTAACTACCAACAGTATAGAGTAAGGTTAGATAATCACAGACATGCAGGCTGGCCTGGCTCTATACTGGTGGGTAAAGACTTAGACCACCTTTGATAGTTAAAATGATGATCTTTAAATATGCATGATGTCTCAAAATAAACAGAATGTTAATGATGTTATTTAATATTTATATAATTATCCTATTGGATAAAACAAAAAAGAGGATGTAAATTGAATTGTTAATTTTTAACTAAAATATAATGTATATGATATTAAGAATGTAAACATGAATGATTGGTTTATACTAGTATATAGAAAGTTTTGTAATGATGCCTGAACATAGGGCTTTTGTTTAGATAATTACATTACCATAGGTTGTTAAAACTTGAAAAATATATTTATTGTAGCTTGTGTAAATATTTTTAATTCTATTTAAATATATCTACAATCAAAAGCTGTAACATCTTTGAAAAGATTTAGTTTTGTTACAAATATTAAGATTCGGAGAAACCTTTGACAGTTTTAAAGGATTTATTTGCAAAATGGGAACTTCAGACATCATTAAAATTCTAGCACTAATTATAATACTAGAATTATTGATATGCAAAAAAAAATTAAGTTTTAAATGACATATATATAATTATGTGACAAAATTTTGCAATTTGTTTACTGTTGTTTTTATTTGTGTGAAATGTGTTGTATCAATGACTGCTTGTAAAGCAACTGTGCAAACATTAGTGCCTTATAAGTTGATTTACTGCTGGTTGACTAACTGCTTGTTGAAAAGTGTACTGCTAGCAGTTTACTGCTTGTTGATTACTGGACGATTGTTACTACTGGTAGATTTATGGATGGTTGGTTAACTTCTTGTTGATCTGAATCCCATTTGATTTAATTATTCTGGCTAACTTGCTGCTAGTACTTTACTGCTTGTTGATTTACTGCTGATTGACTTACATGTACTACTGAATATTAAGCAGTTTTTTAATTCAGCATATATGTAAGATTTTGATGATGCCCATTTATTTTACATAGTTTTTGGAAAATCTTCTTTTTGAGTGTCTAAATTTTATGTGCCTAATGGATAATTGTATTTTAAATTTTGTGCATTTTACTGATTATACCTTGCATTAATTATACATTATACAAGTAATATAAATATGATACATTGTTTATTTTATAATTATAGAGGTTTTTATATACATTTGTGCCTTTTATCAGAATTCTTTATATAGTTTATGCATAATCCTGGTCACAAGGTATTTTATATATTATTTTATTATGTTAGTATGAAAATGATGTAATAATTATATACATTGTAATTACTGTGATATATTTTATTTATAATTTTACAGTATTTGGATTTTTATTTTTTATTTCATGATCATGTATGTTAAGAAGTTATAGTTACATGTATTTATTTAAGTACATAAATTTAGTAATATTTGTAATGTTAGACAAAACTGATTGATTTGTATAATGGAGTATCCCTGCTTTAAAATTTGGAACTGTTTAATTGTAGTTAATGAGGTCTCAGAATGAAATTAATTGAATTTAGTAGAAAACAATAAAAGAGTTATGTGCACATTTAGTTCACACTGGCCTGAGCCCTAGACTGGTGTACAAGTATCCATTCTTATAAGTCATTGTTATACCATGAGTCCCTAAGAGCCTTACATGTTGAGTATTGAATGTCACATAAAGTGAGAAAAAAATATCTTAATAATTAATCTTAAATTAATAATTATTTAATTTTTTATGTAAAATGTTAGACCTGTAGTTAATATTTAGAATATAAAATGCTCTACAAAATCAATTCAAATGCTGAATTTATTGGTTGAGATGATTTGTTTATGTTTTTTTTTCCTGCATTTTAAGAACAAGTTTTAATATTGTGGTTAAAAAAATGATTTTGTATTTAATTTAATGTTTTCAACCACTATTATTTCTTTAATCAAATATTATTTGTAACTGTTCTAAGCTTAATTGTGAAACAAACTTTATTTACCAATAATTAGGTTATATAAAAGGATATGTAACTTAGGAGCTCTGTGTAGCTGTGTACATTTTCTTGCATTTAGTACTATTTTGATAAATGGCAAAATTATACATATATTTTACTATAGTATCTTAGGACGTAACACATATCAAATTATTTTATACAAGTAAAACTAGTAAGTAACCTAATGACCTGAAAAGCTTGACTTACCCCTAACATACCCAAACCTGATCATCTTTGAATGATAGATGGATATTATGTAACAAGAAAGCTGATACTTTTATGAATAACCTTTTTCTTGTCCTTCAGTTAATCATTTTTTTTAATTTTTAGGGGTCCTGGGGTTTTAATTGCCTTGGAATCACTTTCCACATACCAGTATTGCTGTCTGAGTTGAAATCAGGCCAGAGACTTCAGACTATTTCATGTGAGAAAGTTATCTATCATGCTAGCTGACAAAAGATCTGTGGTTTTACTAAGGTGCCCACTTGTGCCTGACATAATGTTGGAGGTCTTCAAACTCCACTAGCAAAATTAAAATGTCACTATGACTTCAACATTCTCTGTTTGGCTGGAAATTTTGAATTGTATAACAGAAAAAAAAAATGGTCCCAACTTGAATTAAAGAAATTCTTTAAAATCTTCAATACTAATGTATGAAAATTCGCAACAGATGCCAAATATGTCTGCCAATATTTTAAGCCTGAAACTTACCAGCCTCTATAACCTTTTACTTCTTTTACATTCAGTTTTAATATGCAACTTGTATTATTGTACTGTTTTGTTTATACATGTACCTTAAGTTACTGAATAAACTGTTATTGCTTGTAGGGTATTAAAATTTTTTTGTTTTTCCTTTCTCCCTTTGGAAAAGTTCCGAACAGGAAAAGTACCGAACAGTTTGTTTTCCTTCCTACCCTTCAGAAGAGTATCAAACAAAGTTTGTTTTTCCTTTCTCCCTTTTAGCTCATCTGAGCTTGCTCAGGGTGAGCTTTTAGGATCGTTGAATGTCCACATTTGTTTGTTAACACTCTAGCGATCACTTTTTTGCCGCAGTCATCATCAACCTCGGTCAGGATGCTTGTCTAGGTATTGCTCGGATGAGTTTGAACATTGGTCATATCAGATGAAAAACTAGGTCTCAGGAGCTAAAAATAGAAGTCTTTTTAACACTCTAGTGGCTACTGTTTTGATACGAATATCTTGGAAATTGGTCTGAAAGTTTGTTTAGATGATTTCTAGGTCAAGTTCAAATATGGGTCACCTGGGGTCAAAAACTAGGTCACACCGCCCAAATATGGAAAACCTTGTTAACACTCTAGTGGTCTCATTTTTCCCTCAATCATCAGTAAATTTGGTCAGGATGCTTGTCTAGGTGATAGCTCAGATCAGTTTGAACATGGATCATCTCTGATGAGAACTAGGTCACAGGAGCTAAAGATAGAAAAGTCTTGTTCACACTAGTGGCTACTGTTTTGATCCATTAAAATATCCTTGAAATTGTTCTTAAAGTTTGTTTTGATGATTTCTAGGTCAAGTTCGAATATGGGTCACCTGGGGTCAAAAACTAGGTGACACTGCTCAAATATGGAAAAACCTTGTTAACACTATAGTGGTCATATTTTTCACTCAATCATCAGCAAACTTGGTCAGGATGCTTGTCAAGGTAATTGCTCAGATGACTTCAATGTGTCAGGTGAGCGATCTAGGGCCATCTTGGCCTTCTTGTTAAAGAGTACAAATAAAGTTTGTTTTTCCTTCCCCCTTTTGGAGGAATACAAGTTGTGGCAATGTAGAACTTTAAAGCAGTTAGCTTAATATTGTTGTTAATGAGCTGTGACAAAAGCCATGCTTGAAGTATAACTGACATATTCATCAGTAAGTTCAGAATTTGTTTAAAGTTTTGAGCTTGACTAATAAAATGTTAGTGGGTTATCCTACTCGCCCTGTTGTTGGCATAAAGTTTGGCTTGGGTTAATAGTGCTATTTCATAGGTTTTTAAAGTTTGGAGGGTATCAACTTGAATTAGGCAAAAAACCTCTATTTTAGTATGAACTGTTGCAGAAAATAAACCCCTTTGTGAACCACAAAGAAATAATGGCTAAGGTTTATCATTTAAAATCCCATCTTAACAGTAACTGATGGCATTTTTTTGAAACTTCACACTTCTATGATATCTTATTGGTAAGTCACACATGTGCCACCGCCTCCGTGGTCAAGGGGTTAGAGTCAATGACTTCTAATCCAGTTATCTCTGGCGTGGGTTTGATCCCCAGGAGATGCTT